ACACAGATAAAGGCAGAAGCAGGCAAACTTTTTGGCCTGAGGGCCGCATCGGGTTTCTGAAATTGTATGGAGGGCCGGTTAGGGGAGGCTGTGCCTCCCCAAAGAGCTAGGCATGGCCCGGCTCCCGCCCCCATCCGACCCCCCCCTGCTTCTCGCCCCCTGATGGCCCCTTGGGGACTCCTGCCCCATCCAACCCCCCCTGTTCCCTGACGGTCCCCCGGGGACCTCTGCCCCATCCACCCCCCCGCTCTCGGTCCCCTAACTGCCTCCGGACCCCCCACCCCTAACTGCCCCCCACCGCCCCATCCAACCACCCCTTCTCCCTGACCGCCCCCAGACCTCTGGCCCCTAACTGCCCCCCACCCCTAACTGCCCACCATCACCCCATCCAACTCTCCTTCTCCTTCCTGAATGTCCCCCACCCAGGACCCCTGCCCCTGACCACTCCCTGAACTCCCCTGCCCTCTATCCACACCCTCCCCCTGCCCCGTTCCCTGCCCCCTTACCTCACTGCCTGGAGCACCAGTGGCTGGGGGGCAGCTGCACCAGGACAGGAAGCTGTGCCACGCAGCACAGAGCACCGGGTCAGGCCAGGCTCTGCAGCCCCACAGCCCAGAGCATTGCGCCACTCAGTGGCGGGGCTGTGGGGGAGGGGGAACAGCAGGGGAGGGGCTGGGGACTAGCCTCCCAGGCCAGGAGCTCAGGGGCCGGGGCAGGACAGTCCCGCAGGAAGGACGGTCCCACGGGCCGGATGTGGCCCACAGGCCGTAGTTTGCCCAGGTCTGGATTAAGGCCTAGCTTTGCTCTGGTCAGCCGGGCCTCGGTGCAGTGAATTAAAATGCACAGAACCACTGCAAAAGGTGAGACAGGAACGGCCCCAGAGAAAATGCACAGCAACATATTGTGTTGTCATTCATAGCTTACTATCAAATAATGAAAACAGAACTTAAAGACTTGAACTAGGGAGTCACCACCCCTCCTTCACACCATGAAAAGCTGACAAGTAACACATCAGCGGCTTTCTGACTGGGAATGGCTTTGAATATTTGTCTTCTTGTCACTGGAATCTGGCATTAAAATGCAGGTCTCTGTTCCCCAAAGGTATCAATGCTTCACATGGATCAATAGACGTTGACAGTACAGAAGACAGATTTTTATTGTCTTCTTGAAAAGGGGATGAAATATTGACATTCTACAGCAACATATATCAGTCTTTGAAGAACAATGTCCTCCATGAATAAAACGTTCATTCATATATTTCATCATAGCATCCAAAGGCCAAGTAGTCATTCACTGAGAACCATGCATGAAGTAGTTAGCAATTCACAGACTCACTACCTGCATTAGAATTACATTTTTAAAAAGTCTTAAGCAAATTATTCTGCACATGACAGTAAGAAAAATAAAATTCTGGACTAACAGAGTTTTAACAAAGTGGAAAGTTCAGTGCTATGGACCTTAAATGTTCACTGTTCTCTGATTTTAAATCACAGCATCAGGAGCACCGGAGGATCTTTCATTTCCCCACCCCCCATATCTAAAATTTCCCTCCCCTGAATGCCTCCTTAAAACAGTGTGAGCTTTCTGCCCCCTGCCAGATGTACAGAAATCTACTGTGAATGTCTAATAGCACTATTCAAATGTTCTCTCTAATTCAGGTAATTTATTATTTAAAGATTAAAAAGCAGCAAAATCTAATCATACAGGTTCCTTTTGCTCAACCAAAATGTTAGGGGCCCAGGCACCAAAGGCAAAAGAAATCTGTCACTGCACTTTAACTCTGGATTAAAAACAGGGAGGTGCTTTTCTTCAGATACACTGGACAATGTGACTGTCATGTGACCAATGGAGGAGTCTGACATTGTTTTAAATCGGTTTATATGCAGCCAGGAACTGCAACACACCACGCCTGCTCCAGAGAGTGCAGGTCAAGTAGCTCCTGCAACGTAGCTAGCCAACACTCCCAAACACAACTGGCAGATCTTTATTAATAATTATTAAATAATAGTGGTGTGATATACGCTTTAGTAATATTTTGATATTAGCCAGTTTTGTCCAGAATTAATACAGCAAAAATCCCATGATTTAAGAAATTTTATTAAATTAAAATTTAAAAATAATTGCAGTTGCCTAACTGTGCGACAAGGAGAACATCTGAATACATTTCTTTCCTTTGGATGCTCTGTTCATTTCTAACTATTCACCTAACCAGCCAGGGTCCAAGCCTCAGAAATGTCACATAAATACCAAACACCCAAAACTAATGCAGCACAATATTAAGCAGTAGGTTTTCTCAGCTCCAACCAACATCTCCGCTATTGTCCGACAGACTACTGGAAAACAGAGACATTGACATCATCGGATCAGAAAAATGTGAAGGCTTGTTTTACACAGTAATTCTAACCAGTTCTTTTCAGACAAGTCCGGCCAGCATGACAGCACTCCCTTCGCTGTACAAACCTTAAAATCAATACACAATTTTATACAGCTTCTCAATTCTCCCAAACCCACGAGGAGGGTCCAGGCAGCAGCCTGAAGAATCAGATGCTGGAACCACCATAATTTAAAATCCACTTGATTTAACAAACAAACTGAAACGTAAATTGCAGTTGCCTGGAGTCTGCTGGAATGTGCCTGTCAAAACATGCTGCCTGTGTCACAATGAGCGGGTTAAAATAAAGGCATCGTTTGTCTAGGAACCTGTCTGAGCCGCAGGAACTAAAGATCTCAATAGCCAGTGCTGGCAGTGTGCATACTCGCCCCCCCTCCACTCCCCCTCGCATCTCCTGTCCAATCTCCCCAGCAGAGTAAGCCCTTCCAAGCTCTTTGTCTTGGCAGCAGGCAGTAACAACCCCCAGAGGTTGGCTCGTTTGTCTTTCTGTCTGACCTTGCCAGGTGATGGAGACCTCACTCTGATGGGGCCGCAGGCAGAGGTGACCCATGAGGTTTAGACACGTCTCCCCCATGGATGGATGGCAGGAGGGGGGAGGCTTGGGGGCACAGGAGACTCAGCACTTCTTGTGCGGTCCAGTTTCACAGGGAGACTGAGGAGTAGTTACTCAGAGGCAGTCTCCAGGCTCAGGGGACGCTGGTGTTTTATACATATACACTGGACCAATTTGAATTTAAAAATCAAGTTTGCATGGGGGGGGGGCACTGAAGTTATTAGCAGCCCCAATGCCTTCTCTCTCCCTGCCCACAACACCCAGAGCCCCGTCGCAGCCCTAGGACATCCAGCCTGAGCCTGGCCAATGAAATGTGGCTGTGCCATAATGAGACCCAGAGCTTTTCTAGTTCATCTCTGTATCCCAGATCAATTAACCCAGCCTGGCAAAATTCACTTGCCTCCTTGCCCAGGGTGTCATTTCTTTGACTGGCAAGTAAAAGCCCGTTACTCATCTCATTGCAGGGGAAGGTGAATGGGTTTGGTGTCTAGACTGGTAATAAATGTCAGTCAGGAAGACGCCCCTTTATCCAGAGCTCAGGGAAGCTGCGCCCCCTCCCCCCATCCCTTCTATGTCCTGGTAAGCTGCACCCTGCATGGCTAGACGCTGACCATCCCCCATTCAGGAGAGGATGCAGTAAGCACGCTCAGCACCTCTTGGTCCCTTTCCCCTCAGAGTGCTCAGCAGAGGCTCCAGGCAGTGGGCACAGCTGTCACCACAGGAGTCCAAGGGAAGAGTGGGCTGTAGGGGAGGGGGATCCCATCACATCCCCCTGTGCTCTGTGCTCTTGGAGGGAAGCTGGGAGTGGAAGTGAAAAGCAATCTCTTTACTTACCCAGTGGTTCTGGTGCTGGTTCTGCCTCAGTGGGTGCAGGGGCACTGGAGGTTCTTGCAACACTAGCAGCTGGAGCGACACCGCACGCCTCCTCCTGCCACGCTGCTCCCGCGTTTTCTCTCTCTCCCTCTCCCTCTCAGGTCATCTTGCTGCCTGTTTGCATTTGATCTACAGCCCCTGCCTGTTTGCTGAGAGATCCAGCTAATCTCTGGACTGAATCTGCAGGCAGCTCCAACCAATCCCTACCCAGGAGAGCTCAGATCAGATCAGCACCAGGGACAGCTGCCAACCAAGCCTCCAAAAAACCACAGCTACAAACTCAAGGAGAAGAGGCAGCTTAGTCTGTCATTTGCACATCAGGGAGATCACCAGCAGCAGCCCCAAAAGACTCTGAAAAAGCCGAGAAATGTGGAAACTCCATGCTCCAATTATGTATTTTCCCTTTTATTCCCCCTCCCCACCCCACAAAGGAGAGAGAGCAGTCTGAGGCTCAGACAGAGCCTTAGCACACAGCTCATGCTGCAAGAGTCCACGCCTCGAGGCATTCTTCGCCCCACCTAGACTCAGTCTGTGCTAAGGGAATACAAAGTCTAGCAGACAACAAACTGGTGTCTCTTCACTTAACTACTCCAATGACTTCAAGATCTCCTAGTTTTCATGATATAATGAACCTCAGCGACAAAGCAGCAAGGCACAAGACAGCTCTCCAATTCTCAGCCAGGCCAGGGTCACACATTGTTAAAATGCAGGGCCCAGAACACAAGACAAGGTCTTCAAGTCTATTTATAAAGGAAACATTTGCCTGTATCCTAAAGCTTTAGAAATCTGATAAACCAGCAGTTGAAAGATGGGCTGCTGCTGGCAGCAAACTTTGCCAATATAATTTCATCGCTTCAAAATGTCCTGGCCTTCTGCAGTTATCAACTAAAAATTAACCCTTTAGAATTAAGCTATCACTCCAATTAATGTGTGAAATATGTGCAAAAATTCATTTAGCATCTGTATTGTTATTACTAATTACTGTTGTTTTTGATATTTATATTGTGGTAGCACATAAAGACCACAAAACTGGGTGGGCCTATTGTGCTAGGCATTCTACAGACACATAAGAAACAACAAAAAAAGAAAAGGAGTACTTGTGGCACCTTAGAGACTAACCAATTTATTTGAGCATAAGCTTTCGTGAGCTACAGCTCACTTCATTGGATGCATGCAGTGAAAAATACAGTGGGGAGATTTATATACACAGAGAACATGAAACAATGGGCGTTACCATACACGCTGTAACGAGAGTGATCAGGTAAGGTGAGTTATTACCAGCAAGAGAGCGGGGGGGGGGGGGAAGGGGGGAAAAACATTTTGTAGTGATAATCAAGGTGGGCCATTTCCAGCAGTTGACAAGAACATCTGAGGAACAACGGGGGGGAGGAGGAAATAAACATGGGGAAATAGTTTTACTTTGTGTAATGACCCATCCACTCCCAGTCTTTATTCAAGCCTAAGTTAATTGTATCCAGTTTGCAAATTAATTCCAATTCAGCAGTCTCTCATTGGGTCTGTTTTTGAAGTCTTTTTGTTGAAGAATTGCCACTTTTAGGTCTGTAATCGAGTAACCAAAGAGATTGAAGTGTTCTCCGACTGGTTTTTGAACATTATAATTCTTGACATCTGATTTGCATCCATTTATTCTTTTAAGTAGAGACTGTCCAGTTTGCCCAATGTACATGGCAGAGGGACATTGCTGGCACATGATGGCATATATCACATTGGTAGATGTGCAGGTGAACAAGCCTCTGATCGTGTGGCTGATGTGATGGTGTCCCCTGAATAGATATGTGGACACAGTTGGCAACGGGCTTTGCTGCAAGGATAGGTTCCTGGGTTAGTGGTTCTGTTGTGTGGTGTGTGGTTGCTGCTGAGTATTTGTTTCAGGTTGGGGGGCTGTCTGTAAGCAAGGACTGGCCTGTCTCCCAAGATTTGTGAGAGTGTTGGGTCATCCTTCAGGATAGGTTGTAGATCCTTGATGATGCGTTGGAGAGGTTTTAGTTGGGGGCTGAAGGTGACGGCTAGTGGCGTTCTGTTATTTTCTTTGTTGGGCCTGTCCTGGAGTACGTAACTTCTGGGTACTCTTCTGGCTCTGTCAATCTGTTTCTTCACTTCAGCAGGTGGGTACTGTAGTTGTAAGAATGCTTGATAGAGATCTTGTAGGTGTTTGTCTCTGTCTGAGGGGTTGGAGCAAATGCGGTTGTATTGTAGAGCTTGGCTGTAGACAATGGATCGTGTGGTGTGGTCTGAGTGAAAGCTGGAGGTATGTAGGTAGGCATAGCGGTCAGTAGGTTTCCGGTATAGGGTGGTGTTTATGTGACCATCGCTTACTAGCACCATAGTGTCCAGGAAGTGGATCTCTTGTGTGGACTGGACCAGGCTGAGGTTGATGGTGGGATGGAAATTGTTGAAATCATGGTGGAATTCCTCAAGGGCTTCTTTTCCATGGGTCCAGATGATGAAGAGGTCATCAATGTAGAGCAAGTAGAGTAGGGGCATTAGGGGACGAGAACTGAGGAAGCGTTGTTCTAAGTCAGCCATAGAAATGTTGGCATACTGTGGGGCCATGCGGGTACCCATAGCAGTGCCGCTGATTTGAAGGTATACATTGTCCCCAAATGTGAAATAGTTATGGGTGAGGACAAAGTCACAAAGTTCAGCCACCAGGTTTGCCGTGACATTATCGGGGATACTGTTCCTGACGGCTTGTAGTCCATCTTTGTGTGGAATGTTGGCGTAGAGGGCTTCTACATCCATCGTGGCCAGGATGGTGTTTTCAGGAAGATCACCGATGGATTGTAGTTTCCTCAGGAAGTCAGTGGTGTCTCGAAGATAGCTGGGAGTGCTGGTAGCGTGGGGCCTGAGGAGGGAGTCCACCTAGCCAGACAATCCTGCTGTCAGGGTGCCAATGCCTGAGATGAGGGGGCGTCCAGGATTTCCAGGTTTATGGATCTTGGGTAGCAGATAGAATACCCCTGCTTGGGGTTCCAGGGGTGTGTCTGTGCCGATTTGTTCTTGTGCTTTTTCAGGGAGTTTCTTGAGCAGATGGTGTATTTTCTTTTGGTAACCCTCAGTGGGATCAGAGGGTAATGGCTTGTAGAAAGTGGTGTTGGAGAGCTGCCTAGCAGCCTCTTGTTCATATTCCGACCTATTCATGATGACGACAGCACCTCCTTTGTCAGCCTTTTTGATTATGATGTCAGAGTTGTTTCTGAGGCTGTGGATGGCATTGTGTTCTGCACGGCTGAGGTTATGGGGCAAGTGATGCTGCTTTTCCACAATTTCAGCCCGTGCACGTCGGAAGTCCACTCTGTTGTTTCGACCTTCAGGAGGAGTCCACCTAGAATCCTTCTTTTTGTAGTCTTGGTAGGAGGGTCTCTGTGGGTTAGTATGTTGTTCAGAGGTGTGTTGGAAATATTCCTTGAGTCGGAAATGTCAAAAATAGGATTCTAGATCACCACAGAACTGTATCATGTTCATGGGGGTGGAGGGGCAGAAGGAGAGGCTCCAAGAGAGGACAGATTCTTCTGCTGGGCTAAGAGTATAGCTGGACAGATTAACAATATTGCTGGGTGGGTTAAGGGAACCACTGTTGTGGACACTTCCTGTCCCAAATTCCAGAAGAAAAGACTTAACAGGTGAACAATACAAACAAGGAGGCTGGGGATGGGGGGAAGGAGAGAGAAGGTGATAAACCTAACAGTATGTGCAAAAGAAAGGAGTACTTGTGGACTTAGAGACTAACCAATTTATTTGAGCGAGCTGTGAGCTACAGCTCACTTCATCAGATGTATACCTATACATCTGATGAAGTGACTGTAGCTCCGACTCTCTCAATTGGTTGTCCTAGGGCCACAGTACTCCTTTTCTTTTTGCATACAGACTAACACGCTGTTCCTCTGAAACCTAACAGTATGTGTTCCCCATATAAAATCCAGTCGCCCTATGGGTGCTGATAATGCGATATGGATTAACCAAAGTATCAGAAAGAAAATATGTCCATCTGAAAAATGGCACCTCATCTTCTCCTTCAGTTTAAAAGCAGCCCCATCATCCTGAGCTTATTGAGCACCATCTACTGTGCATACGCAGGCCTGGCAAAGCTGTAACAGAACACAAGAGTGCAGGGTCATGGGGGTGCCACCATTCTAGGTGTATGTCACCTGTTCACAGGATACTGAAAAGACTCACTTCCGTTTAAGCTATAAAAAGGAGGTGGGGCGCTAGACTGGAAGTCCAGAGGTCTGTGCTCTCTTCCCAACTCTACCACTTTGGACAGGTCACTTAACCACTCTGTGCTTTCAGCTTCCCGCCCCTCGCGTGAAAATAGCAACATTTTCCCACCTTTGCAGAACACTCGGAAATCTACCATTGAAAAGCGCTCTAATACTGTTGGCAGAGCGGGTACCCATACCGACAGCTACTGTTGCCTAACGTTTTCCACGGTAAGACTTCATTTTCAGTTGCTTATAACATTGCCAAACTTTAACCACTTGGTCTGAAATTTTCCAAGTGAGTGTCTGCTTCAGGCTATGTGTTTTATTTGGTGGTGGTGGTTGCATTTTTATTTTTATTTTGCGTTGATTTATTCTTTTTTCAGACGTTTCATCTAAAATGGTTCAGCGGTTTCCAAGAACAAAGGAAGAAGTATTGTTTTGCCCATATTAAAAATTCTTATAAGTGTTTCACTGAGGAGCTTTAGTGTCTCCCTGTTTTGGAGCACAGATGTCAGTGTGACACGGATGTGCCTTTTGTGGTCCCCATGAAAATGTGCCTAAATTTGGCCAACTTATGAGTCTCTGCAAATCTCAGTTTGCACATGCTCAGTAGAGATTTCAGAGTCGGGCAGCTAAATTATCTGAACATTCCATCTGTACCGGGCATACTCCAGCCCGAAGCTGCATACAAATGTGGGGGCTAAACTGACGTTGCATGGGCAAGCTTACTTGTAACATTTCCTAACTTCTGAGTGCTTGACTTTGCAACCTTAAAGTTTGTTAGCATAGTTTTGTAAAGCAAAGAAGTTCAGATTCAAAGGCACCATAGCACTGATCATTCCTAATGCACTAGTCTTACCGCTTATATTGTCCTTATCAGAATAGCTCGCTAAGTGATGCTCTAAATGACCAAGAAAACATTTTTACGTGATTTCACAATACAAAATATGGGTTGCAGAGTTTAAAAATAAAAAAAATCTGTCTGACTATGAACATTTTGTGGCAACACCTTTACTCCAGAGCCCCGCATGCACTAACGTACTGGCTCACCAAAACGCACAGCAACACAGACGATGGCACTGTGCATGTGTTTTCATCTCCATTGCACAGTTTCTTCACATGGAGAAGACTCTTACCTTGTGAACTTTCAGATTGCTGGGCTCTGCCAAATGAACACAGCCGTCTGTTAGTACAGTGCCTTATTTCTTCGATGGCACAACTCAGAGTTAGTAAAAGTTAAACACACTCAGAGCTTTCTGTTTCCCTCATGACACCAGCCGTTTTCAGTCTCTGCTACCAGCAATAATAGCTGACATTATCTACCCATCTAGACATTTTAGGGATTCCCATTGACTTCAATGCCCTTATGCCCTACCCATCACCCAGGGTACCCAATTTTATTAACCATTGCCATTATCTTTAAACTGTCAACCAGAAGTCATACTGAAAGTAATGTAGTGCCAATCTTTAAAAAGGGAAGAAGGAGGATCCTGTGAACTACAGGCCAATCAGCCTCACTTCAGTCCCTGGAAAAATCATGGAGCAGGTCCTCAAAGAATCAATCCTGAAGCACTTGCATGAGAGGAAAGTGATCAGAAACACCACATGATTCACCAAGGAAGTCATGCTACTAATCTAATCGCCTTTTATATAGATTACTGTTCTTGATGAAGGAAACATGATTATTTTTCTTGACTTTACAAACTTTTACATCTCCCACATATTCTTTCACAAGTTAAAATATGCTGGATGAATGCACTATAAGGTGGGTAGAAACTGGCTAGATTGTGCTCAACGTAGTGATCAATCTTCATATCTAGTTGGAGCTATCAATGGAGTACCCCAAGGTCGTCCTGGTTTTGTTCAATATCTTCATAAATGATCTGGAGGATGGTGTGGATTGCACTCTCAGCAAATTTGCGGATGATACTAAACTGGGAGGAGTGGTAGATACGCTGGAGGGGAGGGATAGGTACAGAAAGACCTAGACAAATTGGAGGATTGGGCCAAAAGAAATCTGATGAGGTTCAATAAGATAATGCAGGTCCTCACTTAACAAAACCCAATCACACTACAACTAACCAATGCTAGCAAAGTTCTCGAAAAGGACCTAGGGGTGACAGTGGACGAAAACTGGATATGAGTCACATTGCCCTTGTCCAAGGAGGCCAATATTTGGGATGTATAAGTAGGGGCATAGCAAGATCATATTTCCCCTCTATTGACATTTGAGGCCTCATCTGGGTACTGTGTCCAGTTTTGGGCCCCCACTTCAAGAAGGATGTGGATAAATTGGAGAGAGTCCAGCGAAGGGCAACAAAAAGATTAGGGGACTGGAACACATGACTTATGAGGAGAGGCTGAGGGAGCTGGGTTGTTTAGTGCAGAAGGAAGAATGAGGGGGATTTGATAGCTGCTTTCAACTACCTGAAAGGGGGTTCCAAAGAGGATGGTCTAGACTGTTCTCAATGGTAGCAGATGACAGAACGAGGAGTAATGGTTCAAGTTGCAGTGGGGGAGGTTTAGATTGGATATTAGGAAAAACTTTTCACTAAGAGGGTGGTGAAACATGGAATCGTTACCTAGGGAGGTGGTAGAATCTCCTTCCTTAGAGGTTTAAGGTCAGGCTTGACAAGTGGCTGGGATGATTTAACTGGGGATTGGTCCTGCTTTGAGCAGGGGTTGGACTAGATGACCTCTTGGGGTCCCTTCCAACCCTGATATTCTATGATTCTATGATCACTGAGGTGCTTTTCGTCCTAAAGGATCCCAGAGCACTCTCTAAACTAAGGCCCTCACCTGCAAACCACTCCTCATGGGCAGAGCCAGTGTAAGATCAGATTGTGCCCAGAACACTGACCTCTCACTTAGCAGAGGGCTGATGTTTTCCCCTTTATTCTGGATGCCCCAAGACTCCAGGAGAGGCTGCTCTGCAAGGCAGAAATCTCCAGTTTAGGTTTTGCACATGCCCTCAACAGAGCAATGGCATTCATGTCCCACTCCCTCACTTCTCCATGGATCAGTCATGCACCTAGCAGGACTCATCTGTACAGGATTGGGGCTGTACTGTGCATGCGATGGAGTCACAGGGTGGCTGGCCCTTGTACATGAAGCAGAACCTGACCCCCTGTGCCAGAACAGCTGCTCCCCTTTGGCCAATTAAGAGGGTGAAACAGCCCATGAGACTGTAAAGGATCAGGCAGAATCCGAGTGGGGTGAGACCTGGAGAAAGGCAGGCAGAAAAAATCAGGGGACTGGGACAGGTCTCTGGGGAAAGCGGCTGAGAGCAGCAGGCTCTTTGCAGGCCTTCCAGGAAAGCAGGAGAAATTATCCGGAAGCCAGAGGAGAGACTAACTGGCTGACCTACCTGAGCCAATGCCAAAGGGCCGAGGCAGCGGTGCGCAAACTTTTTCAGTCACGCCCCCCTTACAATTAACAGACTCTGTCCGCATCTCCCCCACTGCTGCACAGCCAGGGCTACCTCAGCCAGGGAGCTGGGGATGGAGGTGGAGCGGGCCTGGGGGCAGTTCTGGCCTGGAGGCGGAGCAGGACTGGGAGCTGAAAGGAGTTGGGGATGGAGCTGGTCTGGGGGCGGGGCAGGGCTGGAAGCATGGCACTACCTCCCTGCCCTCTGTAGGGACTGGCCCACGCGCCACCATGTGCCCCTCAAATGTTCTGCCATGCTCCTCTCAGGGGGCAAGCCCCACCGTTTGGGAACTATTTGGCTGAGGGCTAGGAAGCCTGTGGAAGTGCTAGTCAGCTCTCCCTCCTGAATGAGAGGGGAGAAGGCTGAAAGCAGCAGAGGGGGATGACATGAGACAGGCCACAGTCGCGCTGGAGAGCCGGGGCACATTGAGGGAGGCTGGGGCGCGCTGAGGGAGGCCGGGCCACGCTGGAGAGCTGGGGCGCGGGAGGGCAGGGTCTGAAGGAGGCCGGGGCCATGCTGGAGAGCCGGGGCACGTTGAGGGAGGCTGGGGCACGCTGAGGGAGGCCGGGCCCTGGAGAGCTGGGGCCACGCTGGAGAGCTGGGGGGTCACTGAGGGAGGCCGGGGCCATGCTGGAGAGCGGGCACGGGGGGACTGAGGGAGGCCGGGGCCACGCTGGAGAGCTGGGGCGCTCTGAGGGAGGCCAGGGCGCGCTGAGGGAGGCCGGGGCCACGCTGGAGAGCCGGGGTGCACTGAGGGAGGCCGGGGCCACGCTGGAGAGCCGGGGCACGTTGAGGGAGGCTGGGGCGCGCTGAGGGAGGCCGGGGCCACACTGGAGAGCTGGGGCGCACTGAGGGAGGCCGGGGCCACGCTGGAGAGCTGGGGCGCTGAGGGAGGCCGGGGCCACGCTGGAGAGCTGGGGCGCGCTGAGGGAGGCCAGGGCGCGCTGAGGGAGGCCGGGGCCACGCTGGAGAGCTGGGGTGCACTGAGGGAGGCCGGGACCATGCTGGAGAGCCGGGGCACGTTGAGGGAGGCCAGGGCCACACTGGAGAGCTGGGGCGCACTGAGGGAGGCCGGGGCCACGCTGGAGAGCTGGGGCGTGCTGAGGGAGGCTGGGGCATGCTGAGGGAGGCCGGGGCCACGCTGGAGAGCTGGGGCATGCTGAGGGAGGCTGGGGTGCACTGAGGGAGGCCGGGGCCATGCTGGAGAGCTGGGGAGTGCTGAAGGAGGCCGGGGCGTGCTGAGGGAGGCCGGGGCCACGCTGGAGAGCCGGGGTGCACTGAGGGAGGCCGGGGCCACGCTGGAGAGCCGGGGCACGTTGAGGGAGGCTGGGGGGGGGAGACCAGGGCCACGCTGGAGGTAAGGGCCTGAGGGAGGCTGGGGCCCTGAGGGCCGGGGCCACGCTGGAGAGCTGGGGCGCGCTGAGGGAGGCCGGGGCCACGCTGGAGAGCCGGTGCATGCTGAGGGAGGCCGGGGCCGTGAGGGAGGCCGGGGCCACGCTGGAGAGTGGGGCGTGGTCAGGGAAGCTGAGGCGTGGGGAGGGAAGCCTGCAATCTACTTAATGTACAGTCTGGACTATGGTTGTGGGACTTAGTGTTGGAACTTGTTCTCTTACAGTTTACGTGCATGGATCTTTTATAATAAATGAACCTCTGTCATAACCATACAGCTAAGGGTAGCCTAGAATTCTTCCTTACGTGTAAGCGGTTAAGAAGCTCAAATAACCTGGTTGGCACCTAACCAAAAGGACCAATGGGGAAAGAATATACGTTCAAATGGTGGGTGGGAAGGCTTTGTGTGTGCTCTTTATTTTGGGTGTTCTCTTGGGAAGCAGAGAAGCACCAGGTCAAAAAACTCCTCCTGCTATAAACCATCCTAAAGTGAGTCTCAATATTGTAAAAAGAGTAACTAAATAAGGCAGGGCACGTTAAATTACCTTTTGTTTGCAACTTGTAAATTTTCCCTGTGCTAAGAGGGAGGTTTATCCCTGTTTTTTGTAACTTTAACGTTTTGCCTAGCAGGAAATCCTCTGTGTTTTGAATCTGATTACCCTGTAAAGTTACCTTCCATCCTGATTTTACAGAGGTGCTTCTTTTACTATTTTTTTCCTTTATAATAAAGTTCTGTTTTTTAAGAATCTGGTTTACCTATTTGGTTGGTATATTATTCTCAAGCCTTCCCAGGAAGGGGGTATAGGGCTTGGGGGGATATTTTGGAGGAACAGGAATACCAAGTGGTCCTTTCCTTAATTCTTTGTCTAAATCACTTGGTGGTGGCAGTGTACCATCCAAGGACAAAGAATTGGGGAAGTTTTTAACCTAAGCTGGTAAAAATAAGCTTAGGGGGCTTTCATGCAGGTCCCCGCATCTGTACCCTAGAGTTCAGAGTGGGGAGGGAACCCTAACAACCCCACATGGACTATATTTGTACTTGGAAAGACTTTGAGGGAAACTGAGAC